CTCCATCTCCTGGGTTCAAGTGATTCTCCTGCCTCAGCTTCCCAAGTAGCTGGGATTACAGGTGTGCACCAACATGCCCAGCTAATTTTAGTATTTTTAGTAGAGACAGGGTTTCACCACGTTGGCCAGGATGGTCTCAATCTCTTGACTTCGTGATCCACCCGCCTCAGCCTCCCAAAGTGCTGGGATTACAGGTGTGAGCCACCGCGCCCCGGTCGTGTATATATTTCTTCTCCTCTGTCAGATGCTGAGACCCTGCCCCGTCCCCCACCCTGCACCATGTGTAGTCATAGTAAGGCTCGGAAAGAGGCATGAGCCACCATGCCCGGCCCCTTCATGGCCTTTGTTCCTGCCAATGAGCATGATCCTTCAATGGCTTCTTAAATACTACCCCTTCCCCGGCTCAATAAAAACTCCTGCCTCACTTCTGGGCTCTAGGGGCCAACTCAGAGCCTGCTCCTACCTCCCTTCCCATCTGCCCTTCCTACTTCCTCTGTCTTCCCCTAACTGACTCTGGCTGACACATGCAATTGCTCTTGCTTCCCACCTATGGGCTGGAGCTGAACTTGCTAATATTTATTAAGCCTCTCTGGAGCCCTGGAAGATTCTCTGGGCTGGGGAAGTTGATAGAGGGAGTAAGAGCCAGGATTCTTAGTTCTTGACTCTTGAGGCCTTTTTCAGTCCCTTGATCCTCCTTGGACAGAAAGTTGTGGGGTGGGAGCTCGCAGTTGGGGAAATGGAACCAAAGAGTGGCAGGGCCACAGTGGAAGAGCTCAGACCCATGACACAGCAAATGCCTCTGAGACAGAAACCATGTCTGATGTCTGTCTTGAAGAGGCTCAAAAGTCAGGGCAGCATTCCAAGGTGTGGCCAGTTTCTAAACTGCAATGTGCCGTGGCAGAGCAGTAGGAAGAATGTGCGTGAAGTGCTGCTAGAAGAGGGGAAGGCTTCATGGAGGCGGTAGCGCATGAGCTGGGCCTTGAAGGACGAGCAGAACTAATGGGTGTTCTCTAGGTGGGGGGTGGCAGTCATTCCAGGCAGAAGAAACATGATCAATGTTTCAAGGCTTGGAGGTGTAAAAGGGTGTGGTATCTTTTGGGAATGGCTAGAAGTTGAATGTAGTGGGAACACAGCAGGATGGGAGTCGGGGTTAGGGTGTGAAGAGGAGTAAGAATGAAAAGGCAGAGGGGGCATTGGCCTTGCAAAGCTTTGCGCCATTTCCCAGCCCAGGTGAATTATGTGGAAGCCAGGCCCGGCCTTCAGACGGCCCTGCCTCACACAGAAAATCCCCAAACCACAGGTTTTGTCAAGAAGGCTTAGGGGATGGAAAGAGAAGGGAGACATCAAGGCTGGCCCAGTCACGTGGTTCCCTGGCAGCCCAGGTCCCCCAGCCTCGGGGCTCAGCACTGGACAGGAGGTTGGACTAAAAAAACCTCGAGACCATTCACCCTGCGTTCCGTGGGTCTGTGATTGTTGGAAATAGATGCTCCGTGCCGCAAAGAAAAATGATTATCTTCTACAACAAAGGATCTCTCAGCAAAGCAATTTTTTTTACTCCCTGCAGAAAGAGTACTCCCGTAGCAATCTGTCCACGGAGTACCCTTTTTGCAGAAACCATCTCAGGAGTTGATAAAGGAACATCTGATTCGAATACTTCCTCTCTTTGAGTAGCAACCTGTGGTCAAGACGGCTCCTTCCCAGACAGCCCACTCCTGATTACTCCTGGGAACTGCGGGCCTCTGAGCTAAATGAGGACCACTGTCTCCATCTTGTTAATGGGAAACCCAGCTGAGCCCCGTGGCCTGCAGGCACAATCGAGGCTCACCCAGGACTCTCTACCTCCTGTCTGACCCAATGGGGTTGTAACTCCTGGAGGGCCAGGCCGACCCGTTCACCTCAGGGTCCCAGGCCTGTGCACAGACATCGGCATGTTCAGGAAATGCACAAACAGGGTGGGACCAGCTTAGGAGTGGCCAGGGCAGTAAGAGCTAAGAGCTAGATACAGAGCTGGCTGGGAGCACTGAGCAAGCCTGAACATGGGGCCGACTGACCTGAGGGTGGTGGGAGAAGAGGTGGCCACAGGCAAAGCTGGTGCATGCCCAGCCAGATGCAAACAGGGGTCGGGGGTCTGCCTGCCTGGGTTAATGAGGAACATCTTAGTGGAGGCTCCTGCAGAGCAGAGGCCAGGCCCAGCCTGCCTGCTCCTGGCACAGACTGGAACCCCTCAGACACGCTCTCCTCTTCCCTTTATATGTCAAACGGGGGCCGCTGCTCACTCCTGGCCTACAGAGGGAGGAAGCTGAGCTGGAGAAAAGATACCTCAGGGGCCGGCAGCTGCTCCCAAGGAGAACGAGAATGATCACCTCACAAACACATAGGCCATTTGGATACTCTTTCCTCAAATTCTTCCATACCTATGGTTCCCTGAAGCAATCTAGTGAAGTGAGTGTTACTATCATGCCCATTTTACAGATGAGGAAACTGAGAGTCAGGCAAAGTAAGTGGCAGAACCCAGGTAGGACCGAGGGCCACGATAGCCCAGCAGGGCTCTTTCCTTAGTGTCCTGGATCTGGATGGCACAGCACAGAAAGGCAAGCCGTATGTCAACCAGCTGCTCTGGCCTACCTGGGGCCACTGCCAATGGGCACAGCTCACCGAGGGCTTCCTCACCCACCCTGACATTAAGCTTCACTCAAAAGGCTTGGGGAACCTGGGGCCAGTGTCTCCTTCTGTGTGTTTGCCAGTTTCTGGCTTCCCCTGCAGAGGACCTGCTTGGCCCCCAGTGGCTGTGTGTGCCAGGAGAGGCTGTGGAACACTGTAGAGCAGGTCTGATCCCTCTGAGTTGTGGTCAGGGTTGGTCTTTGGGGATGCCTACAGCTGTCAACTGCTGGACACAGCAAGTGAGCAGCTGAGACACCTCTGGTTGTAATAAAGGAACTTTCTGGAAACTGCTTGCCATCTGCCTGTTCCTGCTGCCCGGTGCCCTGCTCCAGGAGCTCTGCCCATGGCCACCTCCTGCCAATGTGGAGCTTGGAAGTGACTTCTCCACTCAGTCTGGAGAGCAGGGGTTTCAAATAGGCTAATTCCTGTGTGGTCAGTGAGGCTGAAAGCCCAGCTCCTTCACTGCTCCAAGGAGGAGATGGGTGTCAGATTGATAAGGTGCTGGCCTCCCGGTGGCCCAGCGAGAGATAAAGAGCTTGCAGGACTGAGCACTCGGGATGAGGTCCTGAGAGCTGGGAGCACTGTGCCTCGGCCCCTCTGTGAATGCCACGCACAGTGTTTCACCCCTAAGCCTTGGTTTCTCAGCCTGCAAATGGGCCTGTCTGGTGCAGTCTGGACCGTCCCAGCACAGCTGCAACAGGACAGCAACCTGTAGCTTAACAGCCCCACCCCGTGCTGCCCGTGGGGCTCAGGGCCACATTTCACAGACGAAAGGACGAATTTGCTTTTCTAAAGCCAGCATGAGCCGGCAGGTGGCACACAGAGGAGATGAGGGTGCTGCAGAGAAAGCAGGCACTGGGTTGGGGCGGGAGGCAACAGGCAACCCAGACCCACTGCCTCCCCCCGCCTCCCCCCGCCTCCCCCCGCCTCCCCCCGCCTCCCCCCGCCTGACCTTCTCTGGCCAGCAGGGATACTGCCATCACTTCTACCCCTGCCTGTCGCTATGAACACAAGTGCAGTGTGGGCCTCCCAGGGTCTCTGAGGAGGTGCTGTGGGTGCCCCGGGGTTCCTGCTGGAATGTTCTGCCAATGGCTTCTCCCCTCCCTTCCAACAGAGGTTCAGGCACCGTGTCCAGCCTGGGCCCCGAGGCTCACTTTGCTTTTCAGCATGGTGGGGTCCTCTCTGCCCCCTCCTCACCTCCTCGTCCCCACCCCCACTCTCAGACCCCTCTCTTGGGAGAAGGGGCCATGTCTAGTGAAAAGTACTCCCAACCCCCAGAGCTGGGCAGCAACCACATGGAGAAGCAGAGGTGGGTGGTGAAGGACAGAGTCAGCCTGGCCCTGCCTTTCCCCAGTTAAAATGCTCAGGGGCTCCACTGCCCTCGGGGGCAGGTCCAGCCTCACCTCCTTGCCCTGCCTGGCTTTCCAGCCTCTGCTCCTGCACCCTCTCTGCGCTGTAGACACATGGAGCCTCTTTCAGTTCCAGAGTCTCAGCTCCTCTCTCAGCCCTGAGCACACTGTTCCCTCTGCCTGCCCGGTCCTTACCTCCTCCCCTAGCTCCCTCCTGCTGGGCCCTCGGGTATCAGCTGAGTGTTGCTTCCTCCAGGAAGTCTTCCTTGACCACCAGCCACTAGCCTGGGTGAGGGTGCTGCTTCTGTAGCTGGCATGCTGGGCTCACCCCATCCTCTGTCTCACATGCCTGTCCTGCTTGTCCCACACCTGCCCAACATATGCAGGCTCCTTGGGGCCGGGGCTGGGTTGTGCTCGGCTCTGTGTTTCTAGCCCTCTCCTTGGCATACAGTAGACTCTGATAAATAGTCACTGAACACACGAGTGAAAAGGATGAAAAAAGACTTGGCAGAAGATAAGCCGGATGTTCCCAGGGTCCCCACCCATGAATAGATCTAAGAGAAGCCAACAGTGTCCCCCATGATGCTGGGGCCCAAGGAGCTACTGACTACCTGTTTTCTCCCAGCCACTCTGGGAGTCCCAGGCTCAAGGAAATCAGCCTGCAGGAGAGGGAGAAAGAGGAGGAGGGGTTCCTGGGTCTCCCTGAGCCCAGTGATGTGATCCTCACTTGTGCCTCCCCAGGCAGAGGGCTCTGCACCCTGCCCAGGCACTGGCATGTTGGCAAGTGCAAGGAGACCCTGAGTTTCCAGAAATCACCATGACCAGTCAGTCCCAGGCAAATGGCTACCTGTGAAAAGGCTCATCACCCCAGCCCCTGCTAGAACTTTTCCCACCCCTCCTCGCAGCCCTGTCCTATCCCCGGCCACCTCCAGAACATGGGCTGGTCCAGCTCTCAGAGCTGGCGTCCCTCTGAGACAGGGTCTTCCCTACCTCGGAAAGTCACTTTGGCGATCCGGTCGCCCCTGCCCCGCAGCTCCGAGACCGTCTTGAGGTGGACGAGCAGGGCCATGCCAGTGCGGGCTGCCTGGCACCGCCAGGCAAGAGCAGCGGGAAGGAGCTAGCCCGTGGAGTGTGGCTCACACGCCTCTCTCTTCTCTGCCGCCGCCTCCTCCTCCTCTTCCTGAACCCCCTCCAATGCTGCCCACAGAGACCAAGGCAACCAAGCCGAGCTAAGCTGCTCCTGCAGCGACTCACAGAACCTCACAGCCCTGCCAGCCCCCGCCCCTCCAAGTTGTCAGCCCAGCGTGTGTGTGTGTGTGTGTGTGTGTGTGTGTGTGTGCGCGCGCGTGCGTGTGCACGCAGTGTGCAGCCCGGGAGTGCAGCAGAGTTGGAATTCATTATTCAGCAGCCACCGGCTCCCAGATAAAGCCCTATCCAGCTTCAGGTGTCTTCTCCCAGCTCCTAGAAGGGAAGCTCTGCCCACCACCCCGCAGGGCTCTGCTGCTTCCCTGCTAAGCAAGCCCTGCCACCAGCAGTAGGCAGAGAGGAGTGGGCATGAGCATGGGTGGGGTGGGTACAGGGCAAGGGGCACTCCCACCCACAGGGGCACGCTACAAGAAGAAGGGGATGTATTTGCTCACCTGCCCCCGCCTCTTCCCTGATGGATACTGTGCCCCTAAGTGGCTGGGCCCCAAGCTCTGCCCCGGGATCACTGTTTCTGAATCTCAGGAAGCAGAGAGGCTGGGGCTGCTGCCTGAGGGGAAGCTCAGGACCAGGCCACGCATGATGGAGATGCCTGGTTGTGGAGGCAGCAGAGGCTTACGCTTATGTGCTACCAGGGGCCATGTTTAAGGATCCAGGGCGCTAACGTGGTCCCAGCCCAAGGGTGGAGGTCAGGCAGGCTAGCCAGGGTAAGCCAGGCTAATGTTTGCTTTCCAGCCAGAGGAGCAGAATTGAATGGCCTTCTGCTCTAATCCTGCTAGAGGCAGGAGAAGGGATGTCTATAGTGAAATTTCTAAGGACCAAAGGAGAGTTACCCCTCCTGTCTTCCAGCAGCATACACCAAAGAAAGGGACCCTGGGGGCCAGCATCCCTGATGCTGGAGCCTGTGCAGGGTCATCTGCACCCTTGTTCTTGCCCTTTGCTCTTGGTGGAATGCCCCCACCCTATCGTGGACTCAGTTCAAGTGCCTGCTCCTGGAGGTGCCTCTGCACCTGCACCCCGCCTGGGTTGGGGTTCTCCTCTGTGCTGCTCGTGTCCCGCTCATCTTACAGAGTCCTGGGACTGCTCCCCTTGCCTCTTCTGCTACTGACCCCAGGGAGACTCTGGAGCACAGCATCACTGCACCCCAGAGCCCCACATGGTATCCTGTGCACGGTAGGATGCCCAATTACAGTTGACAGGATAAAAGAGTGAGCTCAGGGATCTACCTGAAACAGAATCTACAGGTTAAAAAGAGGAATACTAATTTTTCACAGCATGATAACAAGAGGTTACTGCCTTTGAATTCTACATTCCAAATAACCTACGGGATGTCCCAAGAGCTTTCTTTCCTCCTTCTAGATATTTCCTTGCTACTGTGCCTTACCTTTTCTTTCCTAGTTATGTTTTTTTCTTTCTTTGCCCTTTTTCTCGCCCAGTTCTTGCTTACCTTTCTCACATTTATCTAATCATATTGAATTTAAAAATGTTTTAGAGTATTCTGTTTATTAAATACAAGTGAATGCAAATTCTAATTTCAAAAGCTAAATTAGTTTAATGTCTCTTTAAAAAAAAAACAAACAACTAGCATTTTCTATCCATGAGGTCATCAGGGGGTCTGTGTTTTTAAGGCTTGGTGGCTACAAGGTTAAAAACAACAAACAAACAAAACATCTCCTCCCTTGGTTCTCTGGAGGTCCTCCTCTGAAGGTGGTGAATTTCATGAGGCCTCTAATAACATTTGCATCTTTAGAAAAAAGCCCATGAACCTGCCCCAGCGAAGGCACTGATCTCTGCTGAATCTGTTTCCACATCCATAAAATGGTAGCATTTCCACTTAGCAGGTTTCAGTGCCGTCAGCTGACCTTTCTGAAACCTAAGATAGATCCCGCTTTTATTTTATTTTATTTTTTTGAGACAGAGTCTTACTCTGTCACCCAGGCTGGAGTACAGTGGAGTCATCTGGGCTCATTGCAACCTCCTCCTCCTGGGTTCAAGTGATTCTCCTGCCTCAGCCTCCCAACTAGGGGGACTACAGGCACGTGCTACCACACCCAGCTAATTTTTGTAATTTTTAGTAGAAACAGGGTTTCACCATTTTGGCCAGGCTGGTCTCAAACTCCTGACCTCAAGTGGTCCACCTGTCTCGGCCTCCGAAAGTGCTGGGTTTACAGGCGTGAGCCACTGTGCCCGGCCATATCCCGCTTTTTAATTTCCTTTCTTCTATTACCCATTTTGGTAACTCAGTATATAAATTATGTAATGAACGTTTACTGAATTCCTTCCAGAGCCAGGTGTTTAGATTCAGGGATGAATAGGGTATGGACGGCACCAGGTCCCAAGCAGAAAAGACAGATGAACTAGAACACAGGTAGGCGGTGGGTTTACGAGCAGGACTGGCTGGGCAGCCCTGATGGGGGAGGGAGGGAGTGGGTGGTCAACCTCACCAGGGCTGGGGGCCTTTGACTAATGTTTTCCTTATTGTAGGACAAGTTCCCCAGGGAGAATTTAGAAAAATACGGACATGACTGCATTCTGGAGGACATTTTCCTTCCACTGAGTTTGTTTGCAACCATCCCTTTGCCTAGAGCTCCCTTCCCACCAGGCTTCAGTGCTTCTGCTTCTTGAGCCTCTGGGAAGCCTGTGGCTCGCCTCTGTTTCACTGGCATTTGCCAGGGAAAGTCTTTGGAGAATCCTGGTGGCAGCCACATCCTGTGAACCATTAGCATCTGTGGTCTTCATCCACTGCCATTTACAGAACCAGACTGGGGTGGCTGGGGCTTTCGCTTCCACCCAGAGCCAGCCGGGAGCTCTGGAACTAGGCAGGGGCAGAGTCTGGCTGACCCCTGGAGGGGAGAGAAGGTCCGGGAGAGCAGCTTCCTGAGGGTTTTGGGCTGCAGGCTTTCTCCCAAGCTGGCTCCAGGCCTCCCTGCCTTCTCACCCACCCCCGGACTCTCAGTTCTCTCTCTCGCAGGCCTGCCACTTCCCTTGGGCCCGGGGCCGCCCCGTAGAGACCCGCTGCCGCAGCCTCAGGACCGTGGGCCAGTGCCTGGGGCTTTTGCTTCCACCTGAGCATGCCTGAAGCTCTGGAGCTAGACACGGGCTGGGTCTGGCCAGCTTCTGGAGGGGAGGGAGGGCCTGGGAGAGCCGGCTTGCTGGGGCTTTGGACCCCAGGCCTTCTCCCAAGCTGCCTCCAGGCTTCCCTGCCTTCTCAGCCACCCCCTGACTCTCAGCTCTCTCCCTCCCTCCGGCCTGCCGCTTCCCCCCGGGGCCCAGGATCGCCTGTCAAGGCTCCTGCAGCAGCCCCAGGCCATCTGCCCAGGCGTTAGAGGCCCTCACCTTCATTCAAAGAGGCTCAGAGCTTTGGAGCTCAGCAGGGGTTTGGTCTGGCCAGCTCAGGGAGGGGAGAGAGGGCCTAAGAGAACCAGCTGGCTGGGGGCTTTGGGCCCCAGGCTTTCTCCCATGCCGCCTCCAGGTTTCCCTGATTTCTCATTCACCCCCTGACTCTCAGCTTTCCATCTGACATCTGAGGGGAAGAAGCGAGACCGGGAGAAGAAGAGGGGCCTGCCAGGCTTCTTCATGACACCAGGATTGCTGCAGAGGGAGCTGAGGTGGTGGAGCCTCCACCCGAGTCACCAAGAGCCTGGACCGTGGAAGCTGTCTCCATACCTTCACCCCTTAGGGAAAACCCGAAGGCCCTGGCCCTGCCCTATACACCAAGGCTGGTGTGAGGGTCCCCAGAGAAACCTGGATGTGGAGGCTGGAACAGCCACAGGAGGGAGGGAGGCAGGAGTACACAGGGGTGGGCCTTCCGCAGGCCTGCTCTCCAGGGCAAACACCACCTGCGGATGCCACCCCCAAAATGAACGGTGGCACTGGGGACAAATATAAATCACACACCCAGACTTTCTATGATTTTCTTTGCGCCCCTTACCAATAAAACTCTTGTGGAGTAGTTTGAAGGGCACAATGAGGTGAGAAGTACCAGCTAGAGATTCAGGAGTAAATTGAACACAACACACACACACACACACATACACACACGCACATACATGAACACATATATACACATACACACAGATACATACCCCCACCCCACACACATACACACGCATGCATACACATATACACACATGCACACACATACATGAACACACGTGCATACACACATACACACACATATACACACACATATGCACACAACTATACACAGCATCCTAGGCAACCACACTCAGCCCTGCCCACTGGAGAGCCCTTTCCTGGAGCCTCCTCGGAGCTGGGGTGCAGGGGAAACCCTTGGGTAGAGAGAGTTCCTGGGGCCTCTTCGGCCCCTCAGGTTTCTACGCCTGAGCCGTGGGGCAGCTGCTTTGTGCGTGGCCTCCTAAGTGAGGACCTGGCCTGTCCTTTGCAGTAGCGTCGTGTTCCAAGCCGGGTCACGGCAAGAGGGATCCCGCCAGGCCTCTGCAGCGAGTTTCTGCCTCCGTCCCGCATCTGAGCCTCTCCACATCCCGCACGCAGCCAGGCAGAGAGCTGCGGTGCGCCAGGACCAGGGGCAGAGGTCACCCTGCAGAGTTCGCGGAGACAGGAGGCGCCTTCGGGGCGAGGACCGCGGGGCCAGCTGGGGTTGCCAGGCGCGCCGTGGCCGTTGCCGGGTGACCCGCCGCTGTTTACCGCGGGGCGGAGCAGAGCGCCAGGCTCACTGCACTCGCGCACCCACCATGGCCTCTCGCAGCGCGGGCACCCTACTGACCGAGTTCAATGCCGCCTATGTGCCCCCTGGCCTCATGCCTGGGTAAGACCTCTCCCCGCCCCCTTCCGCGAGCGCCCTCCTCTGTGGTCGAAACTCAGCCCCCTACCCCCGGACTTTGGGGTTGAAGGAACTCCGAGGCGCCAATTTTCCACCCTACTGGGTGAGCGGACTTCCTGGGGGTTTGTGGTCCCAGAGGAGGAATTGGGCGGGCACCGGTGGGGCCTCCCCAGATTCCCCTTCGTAGGAAGGCGCTCCCTGGCGATCGGGCACAACCAGCAGGGGACAAGGGATCTTGCGTGGACATAGTGGGGAAGAGGGAGGAGATGGAGCTACGGGGTTTGGTGCTTGGAGACGCCCCGGGCGAGTAGCCTGCGGCGCTTAGAATGCAAGGAAAAGCAGGCCGGCACCCAGCACTGGGGCAAGGTGAGTTTTTGTTGGTGGGAGGCGGGAAGGATACCGGGTGGGTGCCGGCTCGAAGAACCTGGCAAGGCCGGAAGAGTTGTAGTTACTGGGTAATGCGTGCAGTACCCGCCCGACTTTGCGATCAGCCCCTTCACCAATCTCACTTTATCCTCCCAGAAGCTTTTCTTGGAAAGCTTCCTTGCCACTTGCCCTGAGGCTGGCTTGCTTTTTAGCACTTTGAGATGACAGGTTACACCTACCTTTCTTTTCTCTGGATATTTGCATACTCCAAACATCAAACATGCAAGCCTGACTGTTCGCCCCTGTTCTCTGGCTCTTTCTCCTACAGTGTCTGATGCTTCCACCCCGGACCTCCTCTCCCAGGGTAAATCCCTCCTACCAGTGAGCACCCGTGCTGAGAGCAGGACTGGATCCTGAGATGCACCCTGCACAGTATCAGCAAATCTGTGTAGAATGAATGAATGATCCTAAGAACCCTTGTCTGAAAAAAAGACTGAAGGAATGAATGAAATGAGTCTCTTGAGGGTTCTGCAGGCTGGGTCTCCAAATGGGTGAAAATGCCCCAATGCTGTTTCTTGCAAATGGAGCAGATGGCAGCATGAAGAAAAGTGTATATGATATGAAGCTGGGATTGTGTTGAAGCAGAATAAGCTAGACACTGAGGTGCTGTGATAGTCAAATCATTTCTGGACACTGCATGAGAAAGTAGCAACTAGGGGCTGGTGCTGTAGGTGTTTGTTTGTTTGTTCATTTGTTTGTTTGTTTGTTTTTGAGACAAAGTCTCACTCTCATCACCCAGACTAGAGTGCAATGGCGCAATCTCAGCTCACTGCAACCTCTGCCTCCCAGGTTCAAGGGATTCTCCTGCCTCAGTCTCCTGAGTAGCTGCGATTACAGGCATGTGCCACCACACCTGGCTAATTTTTGTATGTTTAGTAGAGATAGGGTTTCACCACATTAGTCAGGATGGTCTCAAACTTCTGATCTCAGGCCGTCACCTGCCTCAGCCTCCCAAAGTGCTGGGATTACAGGTGTGAGCCATCCTGCCTGGCCAGTGCTGTAGTTTTAATGAAACCCATTTGTGGATGCCACTTTTCTCTGGGCCTTGTAGAGGGCTCAAAGTCACTTGGGTTCCCATGAGGCAAAGCTGATTTACCAGGTCATGGTCGTTTCCTGAAGCCAAGCCAGGTGACTTAGTATTTGCCTGTTTTCCTTTATTTAAGGCATTCATTTGGGTCAGGGACATGCCAGGTGTTATGTTAGGAGGCTGGGAAGACAAAGACAAACAGGTGGGGGCTGCCCTCGTGTGGTGTAAACACGTAAGGTTTAGTTCAAATCCATTTTTGCAGCCTTGGGTGGTGGCATGGACACCACATTCTGGGTGTTTATCGTGAGGTTTGATTTTATACTTTGATTTTTTTTCTTAAGCCTCCCACAGTCTCCAGTTGGAAACTTTGCTGTAGTCTGACTCCTGGACATTTCCCATCTGAGGGCAAGGCCTGGTGCTCCTGCAAACCCTGTCCCGCGGTTCCCCGACTCTGTCTGGAAGGGGTGGGAGCTGCAGGTTTCAGAAGCAGTCCCCTGGGTGCTTTCCTGTTCCTGCCACTTCTTGGCAGTTCCCTTGAGTGCCCATCCTGTGACTGATTTAGAAATGGTGATAGGAGGGTCATGAATGAAGCCTTAAGCCTAGACTGGGCTATTTTGAGCAGCTGAGCCCGTATCTGCTGCTTTCTCATCTGGATCTTTCTGGGAGGGATGTGTTCTCCTTAAAGATTCCCATCATTGAGGAATGAATTGAGTCGTTTTGTCTCCAAATGTTACCTGATTGGCAATTCTGTTAACTTGATGAAAGAACCCAAGATCCCTGACCACACTTGGATAATTATTACTTTTCTGTTCAAACATGAATCGCAGGATTTTAAAGCACAGCCGGTCTCTTCTGATACTCAAATACCCCCCTTACCTGTTTTATTCATAGAGGTAGAGAATATTCATGCAGGTGTGGACCTCAGAAATCATGCAGCCCTGTACCCTCCTGTTTCAGATGTTGTCACTCAGGTCTAGGGGCACCTGCCTGGAGCCAAGTCCCTAATGCCTGGCAGTAACACTGTGATCTCCTAAGTCTGAGTTCCAACTATGTGCCAGGCACTGTGCTGGGTGCTTTACAACATTTTCTTCTTCTTCTTCTTGTCCTTCCTCCACTTCTTCTCCTTCTTCCCTTTCCCCTTTCTCTTCCCCTTCCCCTCCTCCTCCTCCTCCTCTTCCTCCTCCTCCTCCTTCTCCTCCTCCTCCTCTTCCTCCTTCTCCTTCTCTTTCTCCTTCTCCTTCTTTTTGAGATGGAATCTTGCTCTGTTGCCCAGGCTGGAGTGCAGTGGTGAGATCTTGGCTCACTGTAACCTCTGCTTCCCGGGTTCAAGCAATTGTCCCTGCCTCAGCCTCCTGAGTAGCTGAGATTACAGGCACGAGCCATCATGCCCGCCTAATTTTTGTATTTTTAGTATAGACAGGGTTTTGCCATGTTGGCCAGGCTGATCTCGAACTACTGACCTCAGGTAATTCACCCACCTCAGCCTCCCAATGTGCTGGGATTACCGGCGTAAGCCACCGTGCCCAGCCTTTCTTCTTCTTTTTAAAAATCCTCACAACAACCCAAATGAGGAAGGAGCAGCTTGCCCAAAGTCCTTCAGCAAGTTGCTGGGTCTCGTCTTTGTGACTTCAACACCCCAGATCACCCCAAATCTCCCCAACCCTCATGTGGCGTTTCACACTGCATCCCTCATTTAGCAGGGAGGGAATGGGGTCGACAGTAAGAGATGGACTCTGGAGCCAGCCTGCCTGGTAGGAATCCTGGCTCCATCGCTTCCTTACCCTGGGCAGGTTATTTATCCCCTATGCCTCACCTACCTTACCTGTTCAGCGTGGATGATAATGGTGTGTAGGTTAAAGAGGTTTCAGTTAGTTCACATACCTGAAGCCTGGCACTTGATAATTGCTAGCTGTTCTCATTAGTTGGATTCCTACTGTGTTCAAGACCTGATTCTAGGCTCCCTGGGGGAACAGGAGACCATAACAAAGCTGATCTTCAGCCTCGCTGGCCAGGCTGCTCCGTTTGGTCCCTTGCTGCTCCTGGGGACACAGCTCCTAGACACTTGTCGCAGGCAGTGCCTGCCTGTGCCTGGCCTGGGTGCCATCCTTGCAGTGGGCAGGAGCTCTTAGGTCAGAGTCCCTGGAGTCTGAAGGGGTTTGAAGGGATGAGATTGGCCACAGTGAGAATCTGAGCTTCCTGATTGCAGGTCAGATCTGGGTGGCATCCACTCCTCATTCTGTTTCTTGCCATGCCTCACCTGGCTCTCAGTGCAGACGCTTGGCCTGCACTGTGCTTTCATTCATGCCCAGACTGCCACTGTGCCCCATCCCCACAGCTCCTGCCCAGCAGCTCTCACCAAGAGTGAGGCAGGAGGATTTGCCTCCCAGTCCCTCTCTCTGTTTGCCTAGGGTGGCAGCTGTGCCCACATCTGTCACTGAGCTGGACCTCAGAGACCTCAGGGGCCTCTGGTCCTAAAATCAGTGCATTCTACACTTGCCATTGTCAGGAGAGTGGTCCCACAAAGGTGGCTGTGTCCCATCCCCAGAATCCCTGTATGGCAAACACACACAGTGATGTGCTGGCAAATGCTAACAACCAGTTCTCTGGAGGAAAAATGCTTTGGTTTGTAACATTCATTTGTATCTGTGGTATAAATACTCTCCCCAACGCTGATTTCAAACTATCAACATAGTGTCCCTAATTGCAGAGTTGGGGAGGGAAGAATTCACAGCTGTGCACCATGATATAATATTTCCACCCCACAGATACAGTGGACATGACAACCTCAAACACAGACGATAGTAATGTGGTAAAATAATTAGGAAGTGAGGAATTTTGACTACTTACCTCCTTTGATTTTAATATAATGTGTTTTTCTTTCCCTTGAGGAAGAGTGTTACTCTGTCGTCCAGGTTTGAGTGCAGTGGCATGATCACAGCTCACTACAGCCTTGACCTCCTGGGCTCAAGTGATCCTCCCACTTCAGCCTCCTGAGTAGCTGGGACCACAGGTGTGCACGTGCCTCACTAATTTCTGTATTTTTTATAGAGACAGGGCTTCCCAGGCTGGTCTTGAACTCCTGGGCTCAAGCCATTTGCCTGCCTTGGCCTCCCACAGTGCTGGGATTATAGAAGCCACCATGCCTGGCCTAATAGAACATATTTAATTGTAATTTAATATAATTTGATATTTAATACTGACTTATTCAATAACAGACTTAACAAATTCCCAAAAATTTAGAAATTGATTCCCTTGAAGCCAGGAGGCACTGCCTGTAGCCCATTGCAGCCTGCCCCTGGGATATGGTTTGGCTGTGGCCCCACCCGAATCTCACCTTGAATTGTAGTTTCCATAATCCCACATGTCACAGGAGGGACCAGGTGGAGATAATCGAATCATGGGGGCAGTTCCCCCATCCTGTTCTCATGAGAGTTAGTTCTCACGAGATCGGATGGTTTTGTAAGGGGCTCCCCCTTTGTTGGGCACCCATTTCTCTCTCCTGCTGCCATGTGAACAAGGACGTGTTTGCTTC